CAAAACCCCAAAACCCCAAAACCCCAAAACCCCAAAACCCCAAAACCCCAAAGATAGCCAAAATTTTGAAATTTTATACTTTCTAATAAAAATTAAGAAACTTAACAGTATGGAAACCACCACAATTCAGTTCTCCGACGATCTTATTGGTAAAGACTCCTTATTGAGTGATGATTAGATGCACTTAAATGCAGTCTCTGACCAACTTATAGAAGAGCCATTTCTCAGGCATAGAGTTAAGAGCTGAAAGAAAGTCAACAATTCAATTCTATTTGCAGGAGCAAATAATTTCACTAGAAAAAGTTCAACTATGTAAGAAAGGCTGCTCTAGCTCTATTCACTACTTCTAAGAATCTATTCGTTATAATGTATAGATGAATCAACCTTTGTCCTGGAGATGATGATACTTGATCAGTAGAATCAGAAATTGATGAAGCTGAACCGATGGAAATTCATGAAGACAGAGCAAAGGCTTATGAACATCAGAAGAACTTTATCAAAGCTCTTGAAGAATATGAAATCTGATACAATTTGGAGCCAACCATAGATAACTTGCAGAAGCTTTCAGAGCTTTGTTATAAGACAAACGATTATAAGAACGCATGAAAATGGTCTGAAATGCTTCTTTCACTAACTCTTAAGGAAAATAATGATAATATTTTTTCTTTAGAAGAAACCACAACTAGTGTAAGATATATTTCTCATTTTATAGACTGTTTTGTTATGAGCGAAGACTATTCCCTTTGCTCAATCTCTGGGAAAAGTTCTACAAAACTGTATAACCTGTTTAAAGACTTACGGTCAAGAAACTTTTGATGCTTCTTACATTGACAAAGCTATTGCTCACACTGAAACAGCAAAAGCTCTATTGAAGAAAGAAGATGATAACATCTTCGAAAAAGCTACACTAATAACAGTGGTCTCTCAGCTGCCTAACCTCCAAAAACTCAAACGCCAGATCCTACTGAAATCAGAACTTGACAGACTGCATAGGTAAGCTCTAAGTTTAACTATGACTTATTTAACTTTTATAGGCTGGCAGATCAGGTTAACTCGTAAATTATGAAGCATTATAGTATAGCATTTTTGAATGCAGACAACAGACTTTATCGCAAGAGGAAGTCCAGACGAATTTGCAGTTTTGGAAACAGTTTACAGATATTTATGAAGATAAAGTTCAACAGTTGAAACAAGAAGAAGAGGGGATAATGGGGAACTGAGATTTTGAAGACCCAAAGTATTATGATTGACCGATTAATTATACTGCAATGCAAAGACCAACAGTTGCTAGTGATGGACATTCGTATGAGCATGGTACTCTGAACTTTCTTATTAGGAAGCATTCTGCCATCTCTCCTCTTTCAAGGGAGAGATTAGATACGAACGTAATGTATCCAAACCGTGCCTTAAGAAGAGGCTTTCTTTCTCATAGAAAAAGTTTAGGGAGCGATAGTGGAGGATACTCTTCAAGGAGATCTCTCAGATAACCCATTTCTAGATTTTCTTAAGCTCTCTGAAAACATCATTAATAATTCTACTTTCTATTTCTGGATAGAAATATGGGGTTTTGGGGTTTTGGGGTTTTGGGG